TATTACAAATAAAATATTGACATTTGCCACCTCCACATCATTGCATTCAGTTTTTATTCACAATTTGTTTAGTGGCCCAACTTCTTTGGAATCCGGTTTGTATATAAATGATTTGTGGTTACGACTTTTCACAAACTGGAATTCTGTTTTTACACTTTGCTTGGATAAAGTTAACAATTTGAAATGAGTTGCTAAGTACAAATTATAACAAGATTTTAAGATCATCACAAATTAAATCAAACCATATCTTAAGAGGAACCTAAACTAAAAGATACTTAAAAGATAATCATTATAATTAAGCTTGGAAACAGTCCTGGAACTTTGTAAGGAATATCTAATCAAAAGGCAACCTTATCAAAATAAAGAAGGGGGCGTCACAACTGGCAAGAAGCTGAAACTTGACAGAGATAAGTCTTTAAATTATGGTAATTCTGACTGGCTGAAATTCAAGTTGTTCAAAAGTTGTTTCCCAGGAGGTCTAGATGTGATGGATGAAGGTGTATGGGTACACACCATGGACTTCCAGATCCAGATTTGAATAGAGTGTCGGGTGGGGGGCTTGACTTGTGTGTGTGTGTGCTGAGTCATGACTGGTTATTTATTCCCAACCCCCAGTATTTGATGAGGAAAGTACTTCAAGTTCACCGAAACTTAACAAAAACTACATTCAGTTCAAAGTTTTACCTAATGCCCTGTAACAAGTTATTTTCTACTTTGGTTTTGTTAATGCTACATAGTTTTTTAAGTAACATCAAAAAATGATAAATTGGGCTAAACATTAATTAAATCATTAAACGGGTCGGAGGCCTCGTGTCCAATTGTCACCTTCTCACAATGCTGTTATTGCGAGTATCACTCATCCCTTTGTGAATAGCAAGCGGCCATCAGATGAATGATGGGTCTTTAGGCTGATGGTCCTCCTTTATCACGTGAACAACTAGTTTTGGCTGTCACCAGCAAACTGGCAGATCACTATGAGACGGTGATAATTATAAGACTGAGTTTAATGCAGCACCTCAGACTGACAACAAAGTATTTTGGATTAAAGACGAAACGTTTCAACAAGTTTTTATTTTTTTAATCCGTCCAGGGGACCAGATTTAACTTTTAGAATAAATTGAGTGTTAATGCTGCTTATCATATTAACTGATTTTAACCATTCATAAAAAAGGCAAACATTTAGAAGTTTACAAGACATGTAATAAAAGACAACATTTTAAATCAACAGTGTTCATCAGATGATGACTTTCAGCTGATTTCCTGACAGTGGACTCTTTAAGCTGAGTGAATTTGCTTGCAGCTGCTTTGTGTCCTCTCTAAATGGAGCCTCTGGTGACCTCTGCTGGTGGAGTAGCACAACTACGTTTCAAGTCTACATTCAGCCAGACTAGAGCTGCTGTGCTTTTTGTATCTGAATGTGATTGCACAGACCACCATCCTCCAACTATTGTTTTCAAATACAGTCATTGAGAGGGAGGAGGTGAAGAGCCCAAGGTCTGCTTTATTCAGCTGCCTCCCCCACGGTGAATGTTTGTGTGCTTTTTGGAATGAGGACGTGTGCTGCTCCATCTGTGCTGTAATGAAGAACACATGGGATTTCTGACACTGTAAACCATTGCGTTATAAAACAGAGAGATGGAGGTGACCATTTCCTCCTGTCTGCACTTTACGAGGTGCAGTTGTGCCTAAAGTCAGTGATGGTCGTTACCAAGTCGGATCGCAGCAAGGAGCTGTGTGTTGGCTCCTCAGCCACAGATGTTTGGGTTTGGAGGTGTCCTGAGCTGGAATGTGCTGCCTTCTTGTCCTGAAAACGTTGTGGGGGGATGGACGAGTGCATGTGTACGCTGCTGCAGTCTGAAGGTCCTCCTGGAGGTTAACGCAGCAAGTGGTCCTTATATAAACCACCACATGTCTTCCTCTTTGAATAAAATGTACAGTTTGCAATGTTTATCTTGGACACCAGCAGCATTTTTGTCAACAGCTTTTTCTTTTTTTAACATGTCCCTGACTCATTCAGGACAAATCAAGTCACTCAACTTGCTAATCTCATTTAGCATGCCCCCTGTCCTTTGTTATTGATAAAAACACATTCCATCCAAAGCTTGTGGACATTCCCCTCTTTCACCGTCTCCAGATGTGCAAACGCTCACTTCAAAGTGATGAATGCATTTTGCATTTTCAGCTTTTCATTGCTAATGGTGCCTATCTGAGGAACTCACTCGTGTAATTACTCTTGTTTTTACCCCCCACATTGAAATGTACTACTTTAACATAATTTCTAAATAGTTCAAACAATTTAGATGATAAACTGCCCACCAGGGAATAAAACAGGGTTGTTGTTTTTTTGCATTGCCTCAAAAAGAACAGCATGGTGTTACATAACAACTTGCACAGAACATTGAATTTGTCTGGTGGGATGAGTGTCACTTTCTGTTCTGTGTGTTTTTTTCTTTATTTTTTACTTGTTTTTTGAAAAGGAAGATATTAATGAAATCTGTGTGAACATTCAGAACAATTTTATGCTTTGAAAGGTGTTACAAACAGGACGTCTAACTTTGTTCACACTCCGTTCAGTTTTTTCCTTCATCCTATAACACGTAGATAAATGAGCGCAACATTTGAGTTAGAAACATGCGCATGAATAATTTGGTTGCTAAAACAGTGTCAGTAACAAAAGAACAGGCCTGGCAGCGCTGCTCTGTCTGAACACGCAAAGCAACACTTCCATTTTAATTACAGCAGAGCCTTTGAATAAGCCGTCTTGTACCTTTGGAGACGTTTTGGCTCACAGTGGCAGTGAGTGGGAACTTGTGCAAGAGCAAAAAGATGAAGAGCAGGCGAGTGGAGAGCTCCCCCTGAGAGGAGGGAGGAAGCTCGGCTCCACCTCCTCCCATTCTCACCATGTGATCCCGCTGGTTTTAAGAACCTCTCTGCTCCTGTTTAAACTCCAGACTGCTTGTGTTTTATCGCTCGATCGGCTGGGTCTTTATTGCTGAAGCGTTCTGCCAGAAGGGAGATTAAGATGCGCTGCAGGATGAGCTACAGTCTACCCTGCTCCCCGCTGGCCTCCCCACCACATTCAGGGCGATTAGTGCCTTACAGAGCCAGATGTGTCAGGTATGAAACGAGTCTTTTTAAACAGCTGTTTGCGTTGTGTTGAACTCCATCCGCTTTTTGTCGAAACGAGAGTAGATTTAAGCTTTACAGTCCGAGTCTTCGTGCACTCTGAACAAACTCTTTCCAGTTAAATATGCGCACTTTGAGCTCTCCATCGGCACTGGGTTTTTTTTGCGCGTGCACGTCACGTACACGCTGTTTGTTTGTTTGCCTTAAATATCCATGTGCTTGCTTTGTGTTTACATTTTGTGGTCACACGCCGACCCAGACTTCCCACAGAGCTGTACGTGCGCTCCAGCACGCGGGGATGGATGGGCATCATTTAATAGAGAGCCCCTTACAGACAACTAGTGTGCTCAAAATAGCACTTATAGCTGAACTACTGTCAGTTCTAAAGGCTTAGTGAAGATTATCAAGCTCCGTTACATGTGCACACATGAATAAACATAAATTACTGTTTTTATTATTTGCTCATATTCATTTAAATTAATCCATCTTTAATAGATGTGTATTTAAATGTTCCAAAAGTCTATAGTTTGTGTTTTTTTAAGGAGCAAAAGTAGTTGGCATTGTTTGTATTTTACGTCATATTTAGGGATTTAAAACTTTAAATTCATCCTGTACATGCTTTTCTGCACATTTTGTTCCCTCCTTTGCCTTAGATCCAGGTTGAAGCCAAAAGTAGTGCCATAAAACCCAGTCCCCCTCTCTTTCTCAACCAGGACCATGATTATGCAAGGTTATCTAGAAGAATAAGACCTCCGATGACCAATAAAGGGCTCGGTTTTGTGGAAAAAGTGTTTAAAAGCAGTAAAAGTTTTCCTGTCTCCTTTCAAGTTGGGAAACTGGGCATTGTGTTTTTCTTGCATATGACCTGGGATGATTACTCGCATCGCATTATGTCTTAACGATAAACGTAACAAAGGAAACCTTAGATTAGGTTGATTCTATTAGCTGCAGACTGAAGCCTTTCTGTTTGTGTGAAACCTGCTTCAGGTGGAGCCTGTACGCAAACAGGGTTCAGGGTTCACTGATGTGCTGCTGCAGTCTTTGGGGAGCTGATTTTAACTGTTTGACTTCTTTTACTTCTGCAAATTCACTCGTACAGTCTTTAAACCTCTGGACTTTTTATTTGCCCTATAGATCTTTTAAAGACCCAAAACTTTTAAAGTACAAGCTTCCTTTTTTTTAATCACAAATGAACACAACACCTTTATTAGATTGACTGTAAAGATGTAGGAATGTGTGGGCAGTAAATGTTTGAGCTGCTGATTGGACCCTTCAGAAGGCGACCCTTCTCCCACCTCTGGTTATTGACCTCTCTGCTGTTGCTGTCAGGATACCGTGAAGTAGCTCCAAATGGTGTCACAACTGAGTCAGTGTCTTCTTTTGTCCAAACACAGACTAACTGTAAAGCCGCTTTGAGGTTTATCTGTGTTACTTCAGAGGCGCTTGCGAAATTTCTCCTGTAATCTTTTGTCAATATTTAGTTATTGCGAATGTGCTGATATCAATCTAAAGCTTTTGACATGTGTTGGACGGGGTTCTCATCTCTTGCTGTTTTCTTTCCACAGTGCGTCTGGTGCCAGTGTTGTTGCCATCGATAACAAGATCGAGCAGGCCATGGTGAGTTTTCCACAGAGCCACGGTCAGCCTAAACGGCGCTTGTTCTTCACTTCACGTGCTAATTTTAGTGAACCCCCTTTCTCGCTTTCAGGACTTGGTGAAGAGCCACCTGATGTACGCCGTTCGCGAGGAGGTGGAGGTGCTGAAGGAGCAGATCAAAGAGTTGTACGAGAGGAACTCTGCGCTGGAGCGTGAGAACGCCGTGCTGAAGTCGCTGGCCAACACGGAGCAGCTCAGCCAGCTGTCCAGTCAGCTCAGCAGCTTATCGGCGCCGCTGCAGCTGCACCAGTACTCGCTCGTCAAAAGCACGGCTCCCTCTCTGGTTCACCACGACGGGAGTCAGAGCGTCCCCTACCAGCCGAACATCACCTCGGCATGAACCCTTTGAAATACTCTCATTAACTTAACACCTCCCTCACACAGGTGAGGAAGTTCTGGTTCCACCGCCCCCCACAAAACCCCTCATGCAACAAAAAAAAACGTGGCTCGGCTCAGTACGTTCCATTTAAATCCAAGTCTACAGCAACGTCTTTGTCATTATGAGCCATGGCTCAGCTTCACAGGGCCGTCACCATATTAAGACATTTACCAACCCTTAAGGTCTTATTCTGGTCCTGTGTTTGGCTGCAGTGGGGGGGGAGGCGAAAAGGGGAGCAGGAGAAGAGGAGCTGCTGCACATTGTAAAACTGATTGTTCGTGTGCAGGAAGCGGCGTTCACCAGCACAACCAGCTTGATTTGTTGGGACAGACTGGAGGAAGGCAATGTTAAAACCTTGTGAAGGACCATTGTGATGAAGGTCCTGTCAAACCATCCAGCATGGACTGTCCTCCCAAGTGTCCACACCCCCACATCACTCCACAGCTGGAGGAGGCCAGAGGAGCAAGTGGGACTCGGGAGGAGGGTGGAGGGATACGTGCGGAGCGAGTCGAGCGCTTCGGCTCGTTGAAATGCTGCATTGCAAGCTTGTTGTTTTTTTTTTTTCTCAAAGCCACCGTACTTTGACATGAATCCGAATAAATTTTCATTAGTTCAGTTTTAAGTATTTTCATTTATTTATTTCAGGGCTGCTATTTTCATAATGTAAATGTCATGAAGTTACATATTAAAAGAAAAAAAAAACAAACGCCTTTTTCTTTGAGTTTTATTTTTTGCTCTTTTTTTTAACTGTCAGGTATAAATTTCATATATACACATCTATTTTGGCAACGTAGATCTCAAAAAGTAGGCAATAAGTGCAAACACTAAAGCTGAGCTTTTATTCAGTGAAATCCAGGTTGAATGTATATTTTGTAAAGTATTACGAGCGTGGAGGGATTGCACAGGAGAGTGCCTGTTAGGATATGAAATGTGACGGGTTGTTTCAGTAAAAATGAATTTTCTTTTTCTAGACTTTGTCATAAATGGAGATGAATTTTGAGGGGTTTGGTTTAGAGGTGGAAGAAATGAAAAGCTGTGAAAAGTCTTCAACCTACTTTATAACCAAAGACTAAAAATGTGTTCTTTTTATTATTATTATTTTTAAATGCACATGTTTTCTACTGTCCATCCCCGTTTATGTTGTTCTGCATGATCTCTGATTGGACCACTGTCTTACCTCGTGATTTTTTTAAAATCCAGCACTCTGAATTTTTCTGTCGGGCTGTGAATGATTGTCGGAGGGTTTGTTTTTGGTCGGGGTGGAGGAGGTGTTTGACGCGATAGATGTGGAGGAAAAGAATGGAGGGAATAAAAATGTAGTTTGAGGGAGGAGCCGTGTGCGTAAAAAAAAAAAAACCTGTCACAAAAGGAGCCATTGTTATTGTTCTCATGTGAACGCCGTTAAATCTGATCTATTAAACATTTCACACTTTGACGCTGCAGCCCGGTCCATTGTGTCTGAGCTTATTATGGGATGTCCTGTCTGTGTCGCGTCTCTGTGCCTCCTGCAGTCGGCAGGCCGTTCGGCTTCTTCGTGGCTTAAAACCAAACCAAAATGTTTATTAATTGTACAATCAGACATGTTTTTTTGTTTGTTTTCTGCTTTATTTTTCTTCCATTGAAGGAGAAGCCATGTACTTGCCAAATGTACTGAATGAAAGTGATCACTGAGCCTTGGAGAAAATAAATGTCCTTGTAATGTGCTTTTCAGACAATTTTAGTTCTCTTGTCAGAAATAAATAACCTTTTCATTATCAGTACGTTGTCAGATGTTCTTATTCCCACACAACCACTGCACGCGTGTTCAATTTTCTTTTTAATTTTCAGTTTCTAAGAGTTTCCTTCTTGTCACTGTAGAAATGTCACAATGGTAAACAATCGTGTGTAGCAGAAAGTTTGCCACAGGTTATACAAACATGACCACAAAAACACACCCTGCAGGTAAAAAGAGTGAAAACCAGAAAGAACGAAGGGGAAACTGGAAAAAACAAACATTTTTTTACAAAACTATAGAGATTTTCTGAACAAAATAGTGGCATTCAGTAAAGTTGTAAAATGTAATCATAAGTTTATTTGGTTTAAAAGAATGGGTAACAATAAAAACTAGAGAAATTGCATTTCCTGTAAAAATGCAGTGTGAATGCTTATTGCAGAAGAACTTGCTGAGAAACGGCTGAAATTAGCTAAAAACAACAATCTGAAATGGAAGAACAAGTCTAAATTAGCAGAAGAAAGCAGAAAGAACACATAGTTGCTGAATTAGGTTTCAATAAGAAATTGGTACAAAAATTAGGAAATTAGCTAAAAAAAAAAGGCTGAAATTTGCGAAAAAGGTTGCTGAAAAGACAAAAAGAAGTTCAAACTACCAGCAGAAAGCTGAAATGAGCAAAAATGGAAAAGCTGGAAAAGCTAAAATTAACACAAAGGGCTAAATAGTAGCTGAAAGAGTAGAAAAAGCTGAAAGAAGCAAAACAAGCTAAAATTTGCATAAAGAAGTTATGCCTGAAAGTAGCTGTAATTAACATGAAAAAGGAATTTGTCTGAAAACAGTTGAAATTACAGTAGCTAAAAATGCTTAAAAAAGGCTAGCTGGAAAGTTACAACAAGCTTAAATTAGCAGAAGAAAGCAGAACATGTTTGCCCATTTATGCTGAAAGCAGCCAAAATTATCACAAAAAGTGGAAATTATCTGAAAAAAGCTTAAATTAGTGCAAAAAAGCTGAAAAGTAGCTTAAAAAAGGCAAAAAGAAGCTTAAATCACCAGAAGGAAGTGGCAAGAGCACATTTTTTGCTGAATTAGGTTGAAAAAAGTTTAAATGTGTGCAAAAACGTGCAATTAGCCAAAAAAAAAGAGAGCTAAAATTAGCATAAAACCGCTAAATAGTAGCTGAAATACCAGAAAAAGCTGAACGTTTTGATATATGATTTGTTGAAATGGCACATAAATTGTGGAACATGAAAAATGCCAAAAAATGTACAGGATTAAAAAAAAGGATCATAATAGTGTGAATGCTTGATAACAAATTTCTTTTGTCATGATCAAATATAAACTATTACAGCGTTATAGGGATTAGTGATGGAAACATAACAGATACATTACAATAAATGTACTGTTCCTTTTAGATTTAAGCTTTTCTGACAAGTATAATGAAGCAGTTGCAGCTGTGAGCGTCTTCAAAGACAAAAACTGAATGTAATGTCTTTTTCTAAATGCTGAGGAAAAGAGAGTTAGTCTCCTCCAAGCTCATTAAAACACATCATTGTACCAGAGTTACTCTGGGTGACATTAATCAGACCAACAGGAACCTAGGGGTTATTTTTCAACCAGGTTTTCTCTGAACTGTCAAGTTCCTGATCTTAGGTGTTAAGCTTTTTAGACTTACCGTATGTTTTTTGTAACAGCTTCCAGTTTTTTTACTTAAGAGGAAGACATTTTTTTTCTTCCTATCTTTAAAAAAGGGGTTTTACCTTCTGCAGATTTTTTCCTCGTAGAATTGAAAAAAAAAAAAACCTGTTGCCCATCAGGTGTTTTCTGTCTATATTTAGAGTTCCTTGAGATTTTGTTTTTATTATTGTGCGCTGGAAGCATGAAGGTGACGCCAACTTTTATTAGGCCTCAAGCTTATTTTGATGTAATATTTTCCTGACAGTTGAAGGAAGATGAATGTCCTCCAAATTTCTCAGAGTAGTCGCTGATAACGCTCCATGGAGTCTGATGATTGGAAGGAGTTTGTTCTTTTTCCATGAAGGAAGTGGTTCTTTAAAATTTGCCACAGGTAGAAGGGGAGTGGGCTCAACCTGCTCTTTGTGAAAGACAGATGAGCACGCAGAGGTGAAATCATCCTCGGTCGTCTATCAGCCACACATCAACTCGAACATTAATCACAAGTTTCACAACACGGCTGCAGTTTTATAGTTTTGGTTCAAAGCAACCAAACCTGGATGAACTCCATCACAACTGATGAATAATTAGACCCAATTTGTAATTTTTAATCACTTTTTAATAGTGTGATTTATGATTCAATATTTACACCACTTTATACCAGTTAATTTCTTATTTTCCCATATGTTTTGCTATATGACAGTCTTACAGCAGAACGTTTGGCTCATTCAAAAGATGGGTGGCTTTTAAACTTTTATACTTTTCAACTTATTTTATGCTATTAACGAATCTTTTCCACATAGAAATACACTGAGGTCTTTTCAGTTCCTTTAAAACATTTTCAGTTCAGTTATCTTTGAAATCTGCTTCAGAAAATTACTCTTTTGATTTCTTGTGCTACTTTTAGCTTTTAGCTACCATTCTGTTACTTATCACAGCCCTTTGATACATTCAGCTTTAAGCATTTTGCTATAGCTTTTAGATAGCCTTTTGTTACTTTTAGTTTTTAACTAACTTTTTCTTGCTTTTATCGAGCTTTTTGTTATTTTTAAATTTGAGATGACCTTTTGCTACTTTAGCTTCTTAAGCTTTTAGCAACTTTTAGCTTTAAAATATGTGCTTAGCTTTTAGCTAGCTTTTAGTCACTTTCAGCTTTTGTTGCTTTTATCCTGCTGTTTGCTACTCTTAGGTTTAGCTTGTATTTTGCTACTTTTTGCATCCAGTTACCATTTTCTACTTTTATTTTTAGCTAGCATTTTGCTACTATAGCTTTTAGATAGCCTTTTGTTACTTTTAGTCTTTAACTAAACTTTTCTTGCCTTTATCAAGCTTTTTGCTATTTTTAAATTTGAGATCACTTTTTGCTAGCTTTTAGATAGCTTTGAGCTACTTTTAGATTTTAAATAACCTTGTGCTTTTTTAGCATTTAGCTAGTCAAGTCAGATTTATTTATAAAGCACATTTAAAACAGAAACTGTTACCAAAGTGCTTAACAAAAATATCACAACATCAAATAAAAAGTAGCAAGATATATTTACAGCACATGGAATAAAAATATAAAACCAAAAACAAAATTAGAAACAATGAAATACTAAATCAGATCACGTTGTGTCAAAAGTCAAGGAAATAATAACAAAAAGCATAAACTCAGTCAGAAACAATGAAATACTAAATCAGATCTGATGACCTTGTGTTAAATAGGAATAATAACAAAAGCATAAACAGAATCCGCATCATTGAAAAACTAGATCTAAATCCGATCACCCTGTGCTAAATGTCAATGAGTACAGATGCGTTTTTAGGAGAGATTTAAAAGTAGAGACTGAGGTGGCCTGTCGAATGTTGATGGGCAGATTGTTCCAGAGTTTAGGGCCCACGACTGAAAAGGCTCGATCTCCTCTGAGCTTCAGTCTGGTTTTTGGTACGGCCAAAAGCAGCTGGTCTGATGATCTCAAAGCCCGAGAAGGAGTATAAGGATGAAGAAGGTCGGAGAGGTATGATGGTGCAAGGCCGTTAATGCACTTGAATGTCAGCAGGAGAATTTTAAAATCAACTCTGACACGTACAGGAAGCCAGTGAAGAGAGGACAGAACCGGAGTAATGTGCTCAAACCTGAGAGTTCCTGTTAGTAGCCGAGCTGCAGCATTTTGTACGAGCTGGAGACGTGAAAGTGAAGCCTGACTAATCCCAACATAAAGTGAGTTACAGTAGTCCAGCCGGGTTGTAATAAATGCATGGACTAGTTTTTCAAGATGGGATCTGGACAGAACGGACTTAAGCTTTGCTATCTGCCTTAGCTGAAAGAAGCTTTTTTGAAGAACAGAGTTGATCTGTTTATTAAACTTAAAGTCTGAGTCTAACACTACCCCGAGATTGGTAACCGATTGCTTTAGACGTGGCTGAAGGGAGTGCATGTTTACAGGATCAGTGACAGTGGTAGAGCTTGGGTTAAACACAATGACCTCAGTCTTCTGATCATTAAAACTCAAGAAGTTTGCAGCCATCCAAGTCTTGATGTCATCAAGACATTTTAGCAAAGGGTGGATGGAGCAGGAACTGTTTGGTTTTAAAGGCAGATAAATCTGAGAATCATCGGCGTAACAGTGAAACAAAATACCATGTTTCCTCAGGATTGACCCCAAGGGGAGTAGATACAATGAGAACAGAAGGGGTCCAAGAATGGAGCCTTGTGGGACTCCACAGGAAAGAGGGACAGAAGCAGAAAAATGATTGGTTAAGTTAACACAGAAACTCCTGTCACCCAGATACAAATGGAACCATTCTAGCGCCACCCCTGTAATCGCAACCCAGTGTTCTAGCCGTGACATAAGGATGCTGTGATCAACAGTGTCAAATGCAGCGGTAAGGTCGAGGAGTACCAGCATCACAGACTGACCAGAGTCATTTGCTAGCAGAATGTCATTACAGACCCTTACTAAAGCTGTCTCGGTGCTGTGCAGTTGTTTAAATCCTGACTGAAAAATCTAAAATATTCCATTCAAAAACCTGGTTAGTTGACTACAAACTATTTTCTCCAAGATTTTAGAAAGAAATGGAAGTTTTGAGATTGGCCTGAAGTTTTAACAAGCTGCAGAGTCAAGTCTGGGTTTTTTAATTAATGTAGTTGCCACTGCACGTTTTAAAACACCAGGAACCACACCTGTAGCCAAACTACTGTTAATAATGACAAGAACAGAGAGTCCAGTTGACGGTAGAACCTGTTTAAAAAATGCAGCAGGGATGGGATCAGCAGGGGAGCCTGAGGGTTTCATGTGACCAACGACCTCATTTAAAAATGAGAGTGAGATGGGGTCAAAGTGACTGAAGACTGCGGAGCAGGGGACAAGAACTGAAGGGTCGGCTGTGGAGTGTGGAATTGATGACCTAATTGACTCAACCTTTTCAACTAAATGCCTGACAAACTTATTACAGGTGTCAACAGAGGCCTCAATGGTGGCAGACTGAGGCACGTTTAGAATGGTGTTAATGGTGTTGAAAAGAACGCGGGGGTTGTGACTGTTTGAGTTGATCATTTTTGATAAATATTTGTTTTTCTCCTGTTTAACGGTGGTCTGATAAGCTTTCCAACATGATTTTAACACATCAAAGGAAACCTGGAGTTTATCTTTTTTCCATCGACGTTCAGCTCTCCTGCACAGGCGTCTTGCCTCTCTTGTGGTCTCATTTACCCAAGGGTGGGGGTAGCTAGCATTTAGTTATTTTAGCTCTTGTTGCTCTTGTATTTGGCTACTTTTTGCATCTGGTTACCATTTTTCTACTTTTATTTTTAGCTAGCATGTTGCTACTGTAGCTTTTAGATAGCCTTTTGTTACTTTTAGTTTTTAACTAACCTTTCCTTGCTTTTATCAAGCTTTTGCTAATTTTAAATTTGAGATGGCCTTTTGCCACTTTAGCTTTTTTCTAACCTTTAGCTACTTTTAGCTTTTAAATAACCTTGTGCTATTTTAGCTTTTAGCTAGCAATTAGTCACTTTTAACTCTTATTGCTTTTATCCAGCAGTTTGCTACTTTTAAGTTTTAGCTAGTATTTAGCTACTTTCGCATTTAGTTACCATTTTTATACTTTTATTTTTAACTTGCCTTTTGCTTCTGTCTTAGCTCGGTGTTCCGTGCTGTTTAGCAACTTATTTGCCTCTTTTAGCTTTAACATTTCAGTTTCAGCTTCTTCAGGAAATTTCAGCTGTCACTCAGCGTTCATGCAGAAAATACAGTTTTTCTAGTTTGCATTTTGACCTCCACAGGTTTTAATAAACATTACTATATTTCTTTTTTGTGAAACTAGTTAAATTTATGCCAACACTTGAGCGATGAATACAATTTGAATATTAAAATGATTGCTTCCATGCTGTGAGCGCCTGTGTTCACCACAGGCCGACACGCGTGCTACGCCCTGAATCAACCTCTGACTGTCATCTTCAGTTTTGAGTAAACATGAAATATTTCATCTAGTATGACTTGGAGGTGGAAACATGTCAGCACCCGTGTCCACAGTTTTCTGTGTGCATGTTGCTTTAACGTGCACACAAACAGAAGCAGAATATATGCGGCTGTGAACGCAGACAACAGAAACAACCTTTTTGGTTCTTGTCTTTTTGTCTCACGTCGTGCAGTTTGCTGTTGTGACCAAAACCACCCATATTGCCAGAAGTGCAGGAGGTTTTGTCTCAAAACAATGAGTTTGCAGAAAAACTCCTAACCTGTTATAAATAAATAAATAAATATTGCAACACCCTCCACCTATATATGACCTTAAATACAACAACTGAATACTTTCAATTAAAGTTTGTTTAACACAGAGTATGAATAAAAAGAGAAGTGAGTGAGACGTCCTGATCTAACAAGGTGGATTCAGATCCTCTGGATGGATTCTTCATGTTGAAACGTTTCATCTTTTATCCAGAAGACTTCTTCAGTCTGAGACCTGCAACAAACTCAGTCTAACTGTTATTATTATTATTATTAGACCTTTATTTATACAGGTTAGTTCCCATTGAGCCTCAAAGACTCATTTACAAGAGAGACTTGTTACATACAACATACAGGCAAGTGAGAAAAGAGAACATGAGGGTGGAGGATAATAAGTATCTTGGGGTTTTGTTCACGAGTGAGGGAAGAATGGAGCGTGAGACTGCCAGACAGATTGGTGCAGCATCTGCAGTATTGTGGACTCTGTACCAGTCCATTGTGGTAAAGAGAGAGCTGAGCTGTAAGGCAAAGCTCTCTGTTTACCGGCCGGTCTACGTTCCTACCCCCACCTATGGTCACAAACTCTGGTAAGGATCTGATACCAGATGCCCGAACTGGTAAGGATGTTCTTCGTGCATGTCCGCTGCTGCCCCTGTGTCCCGACTTTGGATCAAGCAGAAGATGATGGATGGATGGATGGATGGATGGATGGATGGATGGATGGATGGATGGATGGTATGTGACATAACAAGATTTAGGAAAGTTTATGAACCATATTTAAATTATCATAAGCTTGATGAATTTAGTGCTAAATCCCAGATCACATCTTGACACAGGAGTGAAACTCAGGCCTCCTTTACGTGGACACCGCCGGGGGAAACGCAGAATTTTTCGGATGTTGATTCGAGGAAAAAAAATCCTCGTTTACATGTTGGCATTCAGTTTGCATGCAACCAGAGAGTCAGTCTTTTCCTCTGATCAGGCTCTTTGTGTCAGTTTAAAACTGAGAGGAAGGAACCTCCAACAGAGAGAGCTTCAGGCAGCCATCAGCCTGGATCAACTGGAGACAGCAAGAAAGACGACAAAGAGGTTAAGTATTGAGAAAAACGGTAGCATGTTCACAAATTTCCCATGCTAGAGCATTTTCTTCTTCCTCACCAAGCAGTGGTTTGTGAAAAACTTTATTCCAGCAGGCCAGGAAGAGAAAAATCATCCTATGTAAGGTGTGCATAACGCCCCAGAATTAGGCCAAGTGCACCAGGTTAAGTCCAAGTGCTGAAACTGAACCAGCTCTGCATTGTTAGTCAAACTCAGGCTGCAGAATCCACACAAAAGTGATGAAATACGTCAGCCCGTGCTGGGCCCCTTTCTGACTGCACCTGAGGACAACGTTAAAGAGCAAACTCCAAGATCAACTTTATGCTCCAAATAGCCCTGCCGTTGTTGCAAACTGGATCAACAAGGCTTTGCGTCATTGACAGCTCTTCCAATTCACATACTTTCCACAGATCAAGTGTGTTCATGCAGCAGCCGTGAGTCACACACACACACACACACACACACACACACACACACACACACACACACACACACACACACACACACACACACACACACACACACACACACACACACACACACACAC